ATTTAATTGGAAAATTAAATATAATATTCCTAATAAGTATTAATGTAAATAAAAATTTTAAAAAGAAGAGCGTTAATTCTTAATAATTTTTTATGAGCGTCTGAAGTTAGAATTTTAATAAAATACGTTTAAATCACGAATATTATCATTTGATAATCTTATTTTAAGATAAGAATCCAAAATAATTTTTCTTTTTATATCTAAAATTTGACAATATAATACCTAAGTTCTATAGGTATGCATATGGATCTACCTTTGACATACAAAATTTACCAGAAAGCCAAGTTAATTTTTTAAAAGTACCTATAATTAATATATTATTTGTTCGATATTGGATATTCACCCGTATATTATATAYTATAAATTATATAGGTACATACTACCTACATAATAGGAGATATAATAACACTCCTTGTTACGTCTATAGTTACGCGTTAGGTAATAGGTAGGTACGCCAAGACATGTCCAGTGTTATTGTTTTTGTATAAACATTATGAATTGCAAGGCRTGATTAAAACTACTTAAGTACCCATCWATAAAATATGATATTTTTGAGTTCTCAATGTCCAAAGATTTTTTGAACAAAAATTACACCTACCTACTTATGTTCTATTATATAGGAAAGGCATAGGTTTATATATAGTATATAGTAATATAAACCTACGTTCTTCACTTCTATAATGCTGTGGCCGTGTTATAGCCGTCCGCGCGTATTCAACGAAATGAAAAACTCGTTTTGACAGTTTGATTATATTGGTAGGCCCGGTGCAGGTGCGACGTCTTTATTATGAAACGCATATTATCGTGGGAAAAATCTTAAGATGTCAAATAGGTATAGAATTTATTTCGTATTATATTATATTGTTRTTATTATTATTATTATTGCATTATATGTTTAGGTAAAATATATAMCAGGTAGACAGATAGGATACCTGACAACTAGACGCCCAGTTCAATTAAAAAACAAAAAACATATTATGAGCGTGTTTTAAAATGTTCGTGTACCTAACAGGTATTATTCCATACATTAACCAATTTTGTTAAACGTAAATAAATAATTCCCGAAAGTATGGAACATCATCCATTAGTGGGGCACTCCTACGAAAATCTGAATTATGTTAGACAGATACCTAGGTAGGTATTATAATATGTCTACTCATATACAAAAATTTAGGCGTATACATGATACGGCGGTTAAGTTATTTTTTATGTTTTTATGTTTTATCTAGTGCGATCATATTACTTTGATAAACACAAGGTAGTGATTTTAACTAAATAAACATTTTTTGAGGGTGACAAAAAAATAAATCAAACACATTTCTGTATCTTAAGTGTTYAGTAGGGGTTTAGTAATACTGCTTCGAATAATATTTGAATTTATATTTGAATATTTACTCAAGTTCCTAACCTATACCTACCTACCTGTAATATAGATAATATTATATTTTTAGTCATTACTTATTAGTAAATAGGCAGAAATAAAAAAAGAAATTATGGGTCTTATAAGGCACATCAAATCCAAGAATTCAAAAAATGCATTTGTCTAGACATATTAAATTGTAATTAGTATTCAGTCATAGTGTAATTATACAGAATAAAAGACAAGAAAATACCAAATGAAATCAAATTAAGAGGATGCCAAACTGGCATTTGTTATTTCCGTTTTACAACTTACCAAGCGTACTGCAACATGGCAAATTTTACGTTTACARTAATACATTTCCTCAGTAACTTCTAAAATAAAATAAAATGTATCTATCATAAATTTAATAGCAAGAATATTATCTAGGGCACTTTAGATAATATTTTTGATTTTATTATTTTTAAGTAAGTTATGACCATTTTAAATAAAAATAATTACCTAAATCATTTTTTTTTTTTTTTTTGATTAAACAAGTTGGCATAAACTGTGCTAACAACATACAATGGCCCTAACTACTATAACATCCG